CCGCAGCCTCTGCAGCGCCGGTTCGATTCCCGGCTGCTCCCCGGCCACCAGAGGAGGGTCCCACATGGCGCGCAGACCTCTCCTGCCGCCCGCTGCTCCCCTCAGCAGTGCACTTCGGTCCTTCTGCCTGCTCTGCTCCCTGCTCTGGCTCTGGTGAATTCTCTCACCCTCCCGCGCTTCTGACTGTACCCAGTGCATGTATAAACGAAACAAACGAACAAATAAATAAATAAATAAAAACATGCCTCTATAAAAAAAAAAAAACAAAACAAAAAAAAAAAAAACAAACCAGGCCCAAAATGGAGTCATTTATCCTAAGTCCCACGTCACCAACCCGAGACTTACTAGTTTTAGTTCTCCCAGACATGGAAGAATGCCCTGGTTAGTATGAGTGAGGTCATCTGCCTGACAGTTCTGCCATCCCCTCAAAGGAAAACACCTTCTGGTCTGTCCCCTCTGTTTATAAGAGTCTCTCACGTTGCATAGCTCCTGGGAGCTCCGTCCTACCTGCAAGATGGGTTGCTGGTTGATTTGAATTGACTTTTGCTTAGATAAACTTAAAATTGTTACTATACCCCAGTTTATCTTTTGGCAAAGGGAAAGAGTCCACAGTAGAAACTAAGGGGGAAATAGCCAGAGACACTGCACAGCAGGAGCAGTTTTCGTAAGGAAAGGGATACTAGGGACGCCAGATGCACTGCAGATTCGAAAGACAAGGAGAGTGCTCAGGAGTTCTGGCAAGTGGTCTAGGTCTGATGACTTTGGGGAGAGCAGTTTTGGAAGGGGGTGGGGCAGAAGCAGATTTCCGAAGCAAATGATGACTTCAGGAAGTAGACATGTGGCTGGAAAGAGGGGCAATGGCAGAGGTTAGGGGGAGGGGGCTTTGTTTTTTCAAAATGGGGATAAATGCAAGGTATTTAAATGAGAAGGGGGTTAGCCAGGAAAGAAACAGAATAAATGGAATCAAGTCCTGAGGAAAAGGAGGCAAGATGGGCTCTCCAGCACCCTTGAAAAGGAATCAGCCTTGGGCAACCATCTCTTTCAGAATTAGGGTGAAAGGCAAAGAGCTGCGGTCAGCTGGTTATTAGTTTGAAAATGACAGAAGAGAAAGGTGAGGCACCTAAAAGGATGGCTGCAACCCAGGGACGTCATAGCTAGGGTTAAGAGACTGAGTGGAGGGGTGAAAAAGTGAAAGACAAGGAAGGGGTGGCAGGAGAGCGCCCAAGAGGCCTGGGGAGCAGGAGGGCCGACGCCTGTTTGGAGCAGTGGCAGTGGCAGTGAGTCAGGGTGGGACTCACTTAGGGCAAGAAAAGGACAGCCCTGGGCCTCCCCGGTGGCGCAGCGGTTGAGCGCTGGGTTGCGGAGTTGCCCGCAGCCTCTGCAGCACCGGTTTGATCCCCGGCTGCTCCCCGGACACCGGAGGAGGGTCCCACATGGCGCACAGACCTCTCCTGCCGCCCGCTGCTCCCCTCAGCAGTGTACTTCGGTCCTTCTGCCTGCTCTGCTCCCCGCTCTGGCTCTGGTGAGTTCTCTCGCCCTCCTCCGCTTCTGACTCTACCCAGTGCTTGTATGTATGTATAAATAAATAAATAAATAAATAAATAAATAAATAAAATAAATCTTAAAAAAAAAAAAAAAAAGAAAAGGACAGTCCTGCTCTGTAAGGCCGGATTCCTAGAGAAAAGAGGACCACCGCGCCACACACTCAAAGAGACCCTCAACGAGAAACAAGTTCAGACCAGGGTCACCCAAATGAGGAAACTGAAGTGATGGTCCCAGGGCTGGGCTGAAATGTCTCTACCCGGTAACAAAGCAGAACCTACTTACTCTCCCTTGAATGCACAATGGGGCCTTACTTACAAGGGCAAGGGGGAGGACCGGGAAGCAGAAAGGAGGAAGGCCGTCCTGCGCTTCACTTTCGGGGTGAAACTGTCCAGGCCATCTGGGATTTCAAAGAAACCTCAGGGGTCAGGATGACCAATCCAGGACCACCAAAGAACTCTACTGCGCACAGAGGATTCATTTCCTCCTCTCCACCCCGCCGCCACCCCTTTTCTAGATTCCTGCCCCCCCCCCCAACCTCACTGCAGGGTCATCCAGTCAGTCACCAGTCCAGCAAATCCCTCATCCTTCCTCTCTCCAGTCTACCCACCCTTCTCCCTCCCCACAGCCAGGCCTCCCTCCTTGGGCACCAGTGCCCTGACTGGTCTCCCTGCTGGCGCTGCCTTGTCTAGTATAAATTACACCACAGTGCTGCCTGGGTAATATAAAAGATGAGGGCATGCCACACCCCTGTGTAAAATTGGTCAGTGCCCCACACTTCAGAATAAAGCTCAAGCTTCTTAACATGGCAATGTTAATTGCTACAGCTTGTTTACTGGCTGCCACCACCAAGGGGGGAACATGTATCATCTCATTCCACTCTCATTGCCACCTGGGAGTTAGGGTTATATTTCCTCTTACTATAGATGAGGAAATTGCAGCTTCGAAAGGAAACGACTTGCCCAAGATCACAAACTTAGTTCACTGGCAAGGCCAGTGTTGGCACACAGGACTCTTAGATTCCAAAGCCTGTGCTACTAATGTGCTGTTGCCCACAAGGCCCTTCACAGCCTGCCTCCTGCTTAACTTTCACCTCTTACCGTACAACTTTACGCACCAACTCAGGTGAACTGCTTGCAGGTTGTGCGTTCTCACCTACGGCCCTTTGCTCATGCCACTCTCAGTGTCGGCAATATCACCCATCTGTCACCCATCGGCACCTCCTCCTGCTCATCACTTACAACTTGGACAAAGCGACAGCCCCTCACAGTAGTCTCCTCTGATGGCTCAGCCTGACGTACAAGCACACTAGGTCCTTCTCTAGCAAATCGATGAAAGCTTCATACCACCATGCTGTTGTCTACCTCCTTGACTTAAGAGTCAATTCCTTAAGGATGGGGAGGGGTGGCTTACAAACGTTTGTATTTCCAGCTTGCAAAATAGTGTCAATGACACAGCAGAAGCTCAATAAATATTCACGCTTATTCTCTACTTAGAAAAGCTAGCTGGGAAGAGAAAAGGGAACTTGTGGTTGAATGAGAGACTTGTACTCAGCTCCATGAAGGATTTCAAATCATACCACCAGGGGACAGGAGGAGTTGGTCAAGAAAATGGAGGAAGAGGTGTGCCAGGGAGGAGGAAAAACAAGCTGTAAGCAGCTTAACAAGAGAGAAGCAGAGCTGAGAGCTGGAGGAAACATTCAGCAAGATGAGCCTCACAAGTCCAGCCTTTTCTCCATTCAGGTGTTAGTAGCTCAAACATCACATCCTCAGAGAAGTCAGCCCTGAGGAGCGAGCCTTTAAAATACCTCCCTGGGCCTCGCCCATGGCGCAGTGGTTGAGCGCTTGGCTGCGAAGCTGCCCGAAGCCTCTGCAGTGCCGGTTTGATCCCCGGCCGCTGCGAGGGTCCCACATGGCGCGCAGACCTCTCCTGCCGCCTGCTGCTCCCCTCTCTGGCTCTAGTGGATTCTCTCACCCTCCTGTGCTTCTGACTGTATCCAGTGCTTGTATAAATAAATCTTTAAAAAAACAAAAACTAAAACCTTCTCCTGGTGACTCAGGCAGTTGAGCGCGCTGTGAAGCTTTCCACAGCCTCTGCAGCACCAGTTTGATCCCGGATGGCCCGCAAGGGTCCCACATGGCACCGCAGACCTCTCCTGTCTCGCCCGCTGCTCCCCTCAGCAGTGTACTTTGGTCTGTCTGCCTGTTCTGTTCCCTGCTCTGTCTCTGGTGAAATCTCTCACCCTCCCACGCATCTGGCCTGTTCCCGGGTTCTTGTATCAATCAATAAATAAATCTTAAAAATAAAAAATATAAAATACCTCCCTCTGCTTCCTCCCCACAACCCCAATTACTCTTTAGTCCATTATCTTCTTTTTTCAGTAGTATCTGTCCATCAGGGTCTGAAACACCTACCACCTATTAAAAATGTTGTTTATTGACCATCACCTCAAGACAAGATTCTTAGTCACTGCGGCGATAACTATGGGCAAAAGTGTTTAGCACTGAAAAGAAAAAGTAAGAAGACAACAAACTAGCAGCTTTCACAGATGTGTGGGCAATTAAGTGGAAGGGGGATTCCCAGGACCTCAAAGAGCTGAATTACTGGGTAACCCTGAGTCAGGCCTGCGAGAAGAGCAAACAGGAATAATCAGAAATAGTCAACTTTCTGTGGTTTGAGAAATGTAACCAGCGAGCAGGGGTGTCAGAGAAGAACTCCAAGTACCAGAGGCAGAAGGGGGCCTGGGACCCAGAGGTTGTAAACTGTCAGCCACAGATATGCCTGCTGCCAGTTGCAGAGTTTAAAATTTTAAAAATTCGTTGGCAATGTTTTTTGTTGTTGTTGTTGTTAGTCGCCAGTGCGTTTGTGTGCGCGCAGGGGCACCCGAGAAGAATGCTGATTTCATTTCTCCAGTTATCACTCTCTTTCTGACAGAGACCTCTTCACACGCGTACCTTCCTGACAGATAAAGCATTAAAGTTTGCCAGCCCTGGACCAAACTGAGAACCTTCGTGTAGAAAAGCCCTTATTAGCAGGGGCTTGGTTACCCTCCCACTTCCACAAATGACGTTTTACGAACTCGCGTTGTACAGAGGAGGTAACCCAAGCTCAGAAGGCATCGCCGGGATGCGAACCCGGGCGTCCGAACTCCCGCGTGGCAACAGCGGCGACGCCGAGCGCTCCCGGCCAGAGGACAGCAGGGACCGGCCGGGGAACCGGCACTTTCCTGTCAGAAGACCCCGGGCTGGACCAGTCTGAGGGGACGTGGCTGGGCACGGAGCGCGAGAGCTCGCGTCAGGGACTCCCCGGAGGAGGCAGGCCCTCGCGGGCGCGGGCGCAGGAGCAGCCGGGGACCCACCGTGGCCCTCGCCCTCAACGCCGAGTTCGCCCCTTCCCGCCGGGGCGCCAGAACCCACCCCGCCGGAGCCCACCTCTCCCTCAGCGCGCGGCTCACTTACCGCCGCTCAATTTCCGGCAACCACAGCGGCGTACGAGGCGCGCGCCCCGATGACGCAACGTGGTGCCGCCCCCGGCCCCGCCCGCCGGAGAGCTTCGCGCATGCGCGCGAGGAGGCGCGGGCCAGCCCGGTAGAAGAGCCCCTAGCACCGGGCAGGGTGGGAGGAACTTGGGTGATGCGGGGGGCGGGGTACCGGAGGTGGGCGACGCCCCCTGAGGAGAGCCCTCTGTGGAGACGGTGCCCTACGATCGGGCAAGCGGCGTGGGATGCCCGGCAGGCTTTCCAAGACGTGCTCCAGGTTCTCTCTTCATCTCACGGGGTGACAGGAATTGTCATGTCCATGTGCAGAGGGTTAGCAGCCAGCACGTCACAGGGACCTTTAGGGAGGCAGGTGGAGTGGCAGGGACGAGCTTTTTAGTAGGTAAAAGCCAATGAAAATCGACAGTGACTGACACTAAACCAGGCATTATTCTCATAGCTCCCCGCTGCCAATGGGTAGTTATTCATTATAAATTATTTATTGAACGGTGTCGAGGACTGCACAGGTGTGTGTGGAAGACACAATAGCGAGTATAAACGTAGTCCCATCTATAAAGCTGTTCACAAAGTGGCCCGGACTGAATGGCCTGGACTCACAATAATGAGAGGGTAAAGGCTGTGATTTATGATAATCCGCCATGGCTTCCTGGGTCCACATCACTAATTGTCAGAAAAGTCCTGCAAGGTTGATGTTCTATCATTCCTACTTCACATGGGAAAGGCCAGAGGCTGAGAAATATTAAGTGGCTCACTGAAGAGTTTTGGGGCCAGAATTCTAATCAAAGCCTGTTGGATTCTGCCAAATAAGAAAACAAATGCAGATTTAGTAGGGAGATACTTGATTTGAAAGATGGGGGACATAGAGAGGGATTCTTACAATAGGGTCATGACTCTAACCGAAAGATCTGCAAGTTTCTTGAAAGTTAGGCAAAGAGAGTTTTTCTCTGGTAGGGAAAAGTGAACAGCCTAGAAAGAACCAGATGTGGGAAAAATAGGAAGAAAGGATGACTTGATTAGTAGATTAGAGAAAATTTTATCTTGAGTCCAGCATATTGTCAGGAGGGGCTCTCTGAGGGCTCCACCTTGGGTGTGACCCTGGGGAAATGACAGAACCTTAACTACTCTGGTTAGGAGTATTCAGTTCCAATTGATCAGTGGAAACGAATGTTTTGGTTTATCATTTAGAAGGCGAAGAAGCAGAATTCAGAAAGATGGTTCCTGGCCTTGCCACAGGTAACCAAGAGGCATCCATGAGACTGTTGTCATATGGGAATGGATTTTTCTTTGCAGTAAACTGTTTCCAGAGCACAGGCGTGGAGGGGATTTCTCAACCATCGCTGTTTTTCAGGAGCACAGGTATCATTGCCAGCTCTGTCCAATGTCCCAGACTCCTCGCCTGACACTGCCCCTGCAGACTGCACACTTAGGTCACACTGAACTAATTCTGGCGCTTCAAACACACTTTTCTCTAACCCTGTAATTCCCTTGCACTTCCTTTGCTTGTGTAACTTTCTCTGTCTTCAAAATCCAGCTGAGAGATGATCATGGCAGCTGGAACCGGCCACAAGACCCCTAGGGTGGTTGTGGAAAGCTGTCTGACCTGGGCAGCAGCAGCTGGAGCCCCCTTCACACCCTGGAACCTTCAGGGACTGTCAGGAATTTCAATTTCACTGCCTGCCGTGTACTAGTAAGCACAGCTCTTCCACAGCACACCTCAATTTTGCCTAAGGAGGTAAGAACTTTCTCCAAAATTGCTATACTGTTAATAAACAAAAGCAAAGAATATTCAGAGAGAATTATTGGATATTTTATGTAGGAAATGTATGATGTAATATCAGGAATGGAGGATTGTAAGCATTTTGTTCCTTGAGTTTAAAAAAAAAAAATCAGATGTAATAAGAAACTGATCCAGATACTGCAAAACTCAGAAATTGCATTCCTGGGCCTCCTCTGGTGGCGTAGCGGTTGAGCGCTGGGCTGCAAGGCTGCCCGCAGCCTCTGCAGCACCAGTTCGTTCCCCGGCCACCGGCGAGGGTCCCACAAAAAAAAAAAAAAAATTGCGTTCCCACCTGTATTGGAACATATTCATCAGCCATGACCTTGGAGTAAGCACATTTGGTAAAGGCAGCCTGGAATGATGGGAGACGTCAATCACTGGGAGATTGTTAGGCGTTTTAATCCAGGTCTTCCAGGCAACCCAAGAACTAGTAGCTTGGATGTTTCCATTCCTTTTGAATTTCCACTCACTCCTGCAGCCCCAGCTTGCCCCATTGTTATTTGAAGTTGTAAAGCAGAGCATGTACACTGTAAGGTCCAGAAACAAACATACCTCGGAATTAATGCTTCATGAAGTTCATCACACACAAAGGGAGGAACAAACGAGCCATCTACTTGAAACTTCAGTTTATTCACTTTTAGGAAGTGCTTTTATCATTAGCTTTCAGAAGTCAGAAAGCATTTGGTAAACTCAGCTTTGATTATAAACCTGCGCCACTGAAAATTTGCACTTGGAATATGAAACCACGTGTACATAGAATTCAATCAAGTCTAATTCAAGGTAATGCTCCCATTAGCATATCTGCAGTGTTGGGATGTCATTACTGTTGCACAAACACTAACATCACTCTTCTGAGCAGAAATTAAAACTAAAAATGTAAACCTTTTAATTATAACCGCTTCTGAAAGAACCTAGTTGAGATACTCACACAGCATGTATTATATTACTCGTGTCACATTTTAAATTCAGACTATTTATAACTTACTGTCATAGTGCCCTCCCCATGGATTAGGAGTAATCATCAGATATTTAAAATAAAAATGTTGACTTAAAATATACTGTTAATGAAGTTTCTCTGGTACTTTTCTCATTTTAAAATTGTTCTTAAGAGCAGTAGTAGATAATTCATTGCTACCATGAGGTTAGCGTCCAGGTAAACAGTGAATATTTTTTGGGGGAGTGAGTGGTCCAGAGTTTTAAGCTACATTATGAGCAGTGGGCAATCTTCTCCAGGTACTTTTCTTGCTCTCTCAAGAATGCTGATTGTGTCAAATTTTGTCTAGAACAGTAGGCAACAGATGAAGATAAACTGTTTGACAGGTCTCAAGCAATATTTATTGTGTCCTTACTTTCAACAAATATTTGAAACTATAGTTTCGTAAACAAATCTACGTAAAGATTGAAGTGATAACATACTAAATTTAGTTTTTATACAATTAAAAAATCACACACCCCCCAAATTTAGTTGAAACATGGGTGAATCTCAGACAAAATGCTGGTGGACAAAAGGAGTACCTATTATGTGATTCCACTTATGAAAGTTAGTTAGTAAAATGAATCTATAATATGTCAGGCCAGTGTTTGCAAAGGGGGTGTGCAGAAATCTCTGGGATGGTAGAAATTCTACTCTATCATGATTGAGATGGGGATGACATGGGTATATTTGTTTGCAAAATTCATCAAACTCTACATTTAAATGGGTGCATTTGAATGTGTACCTGTTGCGTGTAATAAACTTGATTTTAAAAACTGCAGTGGGGATGTCACCTGCTTCTTGGTGAAGGCATGACCCCCACCGCCTCTGGGCTTGACTCCAGCTACGAGGCTGGGGTGACGTTAGTTCTTTCAAGCTTGTTTCCCTGCTAGACTGTGAGATCCTTCTGATGAACACCCGTGGGCGTGTCTTGTCTGGTTCACAGTGATTCCTGCATCTCTGGGAACTGCCTTCTACTCGTGCCATTGACCCCCATTTCTCTTCAGCACTGACTGCAGCAGAGGGGAGACACCGCAATTCTTCGCATTATTTTTATTGAAGTAACATTGGTTTATAACATTACATAAATTTCAGGTGCACAGCAATAGACATCACGTGTGTTTCTACTACACAGGATGATTCTCTACCCAGAGCTTTGGACTCCTGAACTGATGCTCAGAGTGGGAACAGGACTGATTCACACAGGTCAATGGCAGTATTCTAGAGGGAATGTCCTCGAAATCTGGCTGTTAGGTTCTGTGACTGACTCGGCACAAGTCTTTCCCGTGGTGCTCGATGGCAGGTCATCCGAAGCAGTCCTGGATTCCACAAACCCCCAGGAGGCACTCACTCGTTTCCATTCTTCCAACCCTGAAGTAGCTCTGTTGTGTGGAAACCACGTCTTGTTCTCCACTCTGCTAATGCTTGATTCAAGGGCCAGGCTGTGAAGTGTTCAAAAACGTATTTGTTAAACTAATAGATGAGGTCTGGGCATCCAAAATAGAGGGCTGCTGAGGTCACAAATAGAGCCTCCTGCTTAGCAGGGGGGTTGGGTGAGGCTCAGAGCACAAGGCCTGCCTCTGAGCCCCAGGGGGGAACCAATCAAGATAGTTGCAAGAGCAACACGGATGGAGCTGGAAGGGAATATGCTCAGAGAAATAAGCCAGAAAGAAAAAGAAAAGTATCAGATGGTTTCAATTATAGGAGGAATGTAGTGGAACCAAATAAGGGATCAAAAAAAAAGTAATTATAATAAAAATCACAATCAACAGGCAATGATAAATCAGATATTCTGCAGGGGAGGAGGAAGGAGAGGGATCAAAACAGGGGAGGGGAGAGCACAAGGGACTATGGTGATGGTGCACGGGTGAACTGGTGGTGGGAATTTCACGGTGACTACACGAGAGAAGTAATCATACACTGTACAAAAATAAAGAATGATGTAAAATATATGTATATATATTTATATAATTTAAAAAAGAAAGATGCAAGAGCAGGAGCTTACTTAAGACCACATAGATGGTTCAGGTCGCTCCCCCATCCTCACTTGCAGCTCAGCAGAGGGGAGCACACTGTCTCCCAAAGGGAGCCCTTCGGGCCACACCACCCAGCCCAACCACCACCACCCAACCCAAGAAGTTGTGGAATTGCAGAGGTGGCAGATCGAATCCTAACAACCTTGCTCTTTATCGAACACAGAGGGGTGTCACAGCCAGAAGGCCGCAGTATTGTTTCTACCAGGCTTTAGACTTTGGGCTACCTCTTGGAAGGTCCACCTTCAAAAGTGAGACCAACGGTTTCCTGAAAGCAAAGTAGCTAAACGACCAATTCATCAAATGGCCAATCTACAGTCTCATGGATTTTCTGAACATTTTGCTAATGTTACCAACTTCTCGGGTCTGTAGCAAGTCCTATGGGCTGGAACGACTTCATGGGTTTTCAAAGGCTCGTGTGGTGCCTTAGTTGTCTGGTTTTCACCTGCTTAGAGCAGCATTTGAAGGAATGTTCCTTTTATCAAAGGCTAAGGATGGTTTATCCTTCCTTTGAATCTATTTGACTTCTGAGTAGTTAACAAAGACGATGTTCTTGAACGTAGACTTTTCTTGAATGAGTTAGTCACTAGGTCTGCTTCCCTTCACTTTCTGCTTTTCTATCTCCATTCTCCCTTTGTCTCCCCCAAACATCTCCCCCATCTGCCCCTTCTTCTCTCCCATTTGTGTCCTTATGCTCATCCATCTTCCTCTCCTGTCTGATCTCTCCTCTCTGGCCCCGTCTCTCCCACCTGCCTTCCCTAGTCCCCTCTTATTTCCACCCCTTACTCTTCCCTTCCCGCACCCTCGGTCTGTCCATCTCCACTTCCCCCTCTCTGCAGCCCAGTCTCTCCTACTACAGCAGTGAGCTGGGGTCAGAGTTTACAGAACCTTCCTGAAAATGGTGTAATGAGGAAAAATGGAAATCAGCTACTTTAACTTTACAACAATTGTAGAAAATCATGCTGGAAAAGTTTCAACCATGCTTTGGTGTTAACCTTGTAAACAGCTGAAGGAGCCAATGTTTGGTAAATTTGAGAAGTTAGTCATTGAAGGGACTGGCTATAAGTTTGTCCACTTTGAGCCCATCAAGAGAAACCTGAGCGTGTTTGTGAGTCTGCAATTTCTGCTCCTAAATCAAGGTCTTAAGGGCAGCCTTCTCTGGAATTTAATATTTTGGGCAGAAAACCTGCTTTCAACTGAATTTTGTGCTTTCACAGCTCGCTAATTCTTTCCCAAGTGGGCAGGGGCTGGGTTACCTTTGCACCCTAATCCAGTACCTTCCCTAAGTTCAAAAATTAATTCAGTGATTCAGAGGGAAGTGGAAGACCAGGCTGACAGGGTGGGAAGGAAGTGCATTCCAGAATCAAATCTTGGAGTAGGTCCTTAGCCACTCAGCTAAAGCCTTGCCTATTCGTAAGCCCAGACATCTCTCTCTGATGAGGCTGTGGTAAAGGTTCATTAGATAGTTGTAAAGTGCAAAGCCTGGCACATAATATATGCTCACTGTCTTTTAAAACCACACGTGAATCCCCACTGAGTACCAGTTACTGCAATGTAAGCAACGTAAACCCCATACGCAGTAATGCGGAAGCTGTGTTCGTTATGCTCTGACAATTTACACTGACCATCTCTTATTCCTCTCAGTCTGAAATCCAGATTTCTTATGCCCCAAAATCAGAATTTAGAACAATTTCTCTTCACTAGCTGCCTCAACTCTTCATCAACACCAACAATGGGCAGATAGCCACCTCTGTGCGGGGCAGTTTTCTTAGGTGTTCCTTGGTGTTCTTAGGTGTTCCTTGGTCCTGAGGGACCCCAGGGAGCAAAGTGATCATGGGTCTTCTTAAAAAAGAACTGTTTCTAATTGGGAAACAGACCAGCTGCAGCTTCTAAAACCAGGATCAAGATTTCCTTAGTTCCCCTCCAGTTTTAAGCAAGAACATTTGGGGATGCAAAACAGAGTGAGAATGAAGTTTGTTATAAAAAGTAAGTCCTTTTCTACAAATATTTACACATGTAACAAGGAACCAAGGAGAAACCCTAATCAGATTTGGTCAGAGTTCACAGTATACTTTCGTATATCCTTTTGGTCCAAGAAACTCAGAAAGGCAGAAATAAATAAATCAAACTGTGACGGTATAGCTTCAAATATCATTTAGATAAGTAAAAAGATCTCATTGTAACAGATCATGCAAACGAGAACACAGACACAAAAATAAGGGCTGATCCAGGCATACCCATTTGCTACAGATATTAAACATCAGGTCTTAAAAGTATAAATCACAACCAGATCATAACATAAACACCACATAAACTTTGTGTTCCCACACCTTTGCTAGGGTTTACTTAAGAGGTGAGACTATAAGAAAATGTGAGGAATTTTGACAAACACGGCAGAACTCACTGAGGAAAATGAATACTGAAGCTTTAAAGTGTCACTGGTGTGGCCAGAGACACCTCTATGTCAACAAATTCTCTTGAGAATTGCCACCACTCTGGTAATTGTGTGTGTGTGTGTGTGGGGGGTGGGGGTGAGTGAGTATGAAAGTATATGTGTGCTTAACAAGATAAATGTTTGCCAGTCAGAGAACACCGGCTAGTATGAGCTGGCCCCAGAGGGTTTCGATCCCAGCTGTCATGTAATAAACCACATGATCTCGGGTGCCTTACTTCTCCTGCTGCGACTCTCCCCTTGAGAAACACCAGCCCCCTATTGTGGGGTGTCGTAGGGCTTTCTTGAGTAAACTGGCACCGCCCTTAAAAAATATGACTTTCTTCTCTCCATTTCTTTTTTTTGTTCGTTTGTTTTTAATGTGCAACTATTAACAAATATTCCTGTTTTCCTTCTCTTGAGGGCTACATCCTCTTTTTCTAACAGTCAAAAGGAACAGGTGTTGAAATGATGGACATGCAGGCTGCAGAATGTTCCTATCTACTCTAAGACATGCGTGAGTGAGAACTAAGGCAGAAGTTTCAGGCTGGTTCAGACAGTACTGCTGAAGAAAGCTGTAAGAGACTCAAAGAGAGGTGTGCTGAGAAGCAGTAGTCACAGCAGAATTGCTGCCTGGTCTCTCCAGGTAGCCCCGGGAGGGGTGGGCATCTGTCTGCACAAGCGAGGCCCCTCACCGTCATTCTCCAGTGAATGCCACCCACATGTCCCTTCAGTTGCCATTAAGCGTGAAAGCTTGAATGACAATGAGTCTGAAGCTTCCACGTTTCCTGAGAATCAGGAGAGCTCACCCAGATCCAGTTCTGGAGATACTCTGCCCTCTGCTCAAACAACTCTGCTGACCACCCTCCCTGCCGTCCCACCAAGGGTGCCGAGGACTTTGCAAATAACCCAGCCCCTAGCACTACTTGACTCCACAAAGCCCAGGAGCCAGGCTTTCCTTCTCCATTTCCTTCAACATGGTAAATGTCACCCTCATTGTTTCCTTTAGGAAGGAATGTGCAGAATTTTCTTGAACGTCTTCCTGAAGTTCTCATTGCATAAGGGGTAGATGAGGGGGTTCAGTGTGGAGTTGATGTAGCCCAGCCAGATGGTGAACATGTGCACGTGCTCGTTACAACAGCTCTTGCAGAAGGCGATGACCATGAAGAAGATGAAGTAAGGGATCCAGCAGAGGATGAAGGCCGCCATGATAAACCCCAGCTGTTTGGCGGCCTTCCGTTCTCGGTTCAGGTGCAAGCCAGACACGTACTGCCGCGAGTGTGAGCGCAGTCTCTTCCAGGTGAACTTAATGTAATCTAGGCCTGTGTTCGACCCTTTTCTTGACTTGCCTTTCCCTGGATCTGGCTCTGTGAGGGTTTCTGAGTCCGTCCTGGAGAAGGACTGGCTGTCACCCAGGACCTGGTCCTCTGACAAGTCACTGGCCCTGTGCGTGCTCAGGCCCTGCTCATCTGTCTCGCGCTCTCCCCGACTCTGGTGGATGGTGTCGTATTCCCTGCCTCGGCCCTCTGCCTCCGCCTGCATCTGCACCATGTTAAGTGGGAAGCAGTGGAGTCTGTTCACTTCTCCATCCTTATCTTGGCTGGAGACACCAGGAGACTTCAACTCCTCGGGGTCTCGGGACGCTGGTTTCAAGGGAGGTCCATCGCTAACATTGTTCGACTTCCTCTTCAGAAGCTCCCAGGGAGACCCCTTCCCCGGCTTCTTGGCACCCACCTTGCAACTCTCTGACCTCATTTTGATTTCAGAGAAGAAAGGGAGGGACCCATTGATGAGCTCCCGGTGCTGACAGTGCAGCTGCACGGCCTTGTAGATCCTGGCGTAGAACCAGAGCATCAGCAAGGTGGGCAGGTAGAAGTTGATGATCGCGGTCATGATTTTGAACCAGGTGACGTCGTAAAAGTCCGTCTCGCACTTGTCCTCCCGATGCCGGGAGCCCTGCGGCATGAAGTGAGGCCAGCCCAGAATGGGAATGACCCACAAGAAGGAGAGGAACCAGGCACCCAGGATGGTGACCGAGGCTTGGGTCTTGGTGCGATACTTCAGGTATCTGAGGGGATGCTGGACCGAGCGGTAGCGGTCGATGCACAAAATGAAGACGCTGAAAATGGACGCCGTGCTGGCCACATAGTCCATGGAAAGCCAGAAGAGACAGAGCGGCCGGCCCAGAGACCACTTGGACATGAGGAGGTAGAGGATGTTCATGGGCATGACCACGGCCCCCACGATCAGGTCCGCCACCGAGAGGCTGACGATGTACAGGTTCCCCACAGTGTGCAGCTTCCGCTCGCTATGCACGGCGTATAGCACCAGTAGGTTGAGCCCCACGGTGACCAAGGAGACGGTGCTCAGGACCACCACCAGCGGCATCAGCTGTGGGCTGGCCATGGTGGTCTTGTTCCCCTCACACATCTTGCCTTCTGAGATGCAGGAGGAATTGGGAAGGTTCATTGGCGCAAGAGCGGCCTCCAGCTAGGGCTCACTCCCTGCGAGGAAAGACAAAGGTGAAGCGTCAGTAGAGCCTCTCAGCACCATCACTCTGCTCTCCTGCGGGTGGCAGGAACTGTGGGTTCCCTCCAGCCACAGTCCCCACTTCCCCAGTCCTGCCTGCCTACCTTTGTGCAGTGACTCTTCATGAATGCCTGGTCTGCTTCTGGGTGTTGGGACTATAGGACAGTGAACACAAAAACCCTCTGCCCACATGCCAGTGAGAGAGCTGGGCAGGAACAAGGTGACAGAAGTGAGTTCCATATGCTAAGTCCCATGTGGCAGCACTCTGGGAGGGTGGGCTGCGGCACCTGGGTCTAGGCTGAGTGTGGCGTTCTAGTTCCTCTGTGCCAGCGGCTGCTCTGGGAGTGTTCATGAGACACATCTGGCCAAGAAAGTAGATGGCAGTGGTGGGGTTCTAGAAAATTCCTCCTCTCTCACAAAATGACAACACGGAAGGGGGTTGTTTCCTGCTTGCTCTCTCCTTCCGAAAGAAAGTGATGGTTGGGGCTGTGGAGTCATCTTGGGGCCATCAGGGAAGCCACTGCGACCAGCCGGAAGCCTGCTCTCACTGGCTACTGAATCAACGCGGAATCGTCCTCGTCCAAATTGGTGATTATGGGAAAGAATTAAATGTCTGCTTTGCTGAAGTCACTGTTCTGAGAGGTTTTACTTGCTGCTAAAAGCACTAGCTGTATGGGGGAGGTTATGAATATCAAGAGCATGAGTAAATCGAGCACATCTCCTGAGATGAGTGGTTCTCCAACGAAAAGGGGGGCCATGTTTTCGAGACATATTTTGTATTATTTTACTTCTGTATTTGAAAAAAAAATTTTTTTTATTATATAAGCTGTATAAAGTAATATGTAACAAAACCTTTGCTAACCTTCTTTGCTAAACCTTCTTTGCTGAAAACAGGCTGTCTCCTGTTACTGGTGACCTTCAGTGGGGTGGGAGGTAGGTAGGTTCTAAAACTTCTAGAAGGGGTGTTCAATTTTTATACTCATCAAAAAGTAATTTAAAGAAAACCAAGAAACCCTGAGAGCGTTAATCTTTCTTCAGAACTTAGCAAAACGAATTCTGACAAAGCCAGATACATTCTGAGGAGGCTAAATATATATACATTTTTAAGATTAAAAAATCCAGACCCCAAGGCAGTTGATCTCTGTGGAAAGAACCTTCTGGGCTGGAAAGTACCATTTGGGGGACTGATCTCGCCCCAGCTCTGCCACTAGTTTTCCAATGGGTTGGATGAGCAGGGCGCAGAGGGGCTCCATGCCGCCTCTTCAGACTGCAGCCCTCTTCTCCTCCAGCTCTGGGGCACCTCGGTCTCCCAACTCTCGGACTTCTTCAGTAGCAGAGCCTTCCCTGTGGACTGTCCTGCCCACGCGGTCTGCTCAGGGGCCTTTCCCATGCACCCTCCTGACACCCCAATCATTACCTCTGAGGACAACCCCCAAATCGTCAGTTTCGGCCTGTGTTCTTTCTCCTTCCTGCATCCGATACCCACTATCCAACACCCTACAGCTTCACCTCAGCCCCAACTGAGCTGAACTCCTGGATTTGTCCAGTCACCTCAGGGAGGAGGGAAGACGGCGGAGGACGTCCCATTCGAGGGTCATTTAGTTTCTGTCGATGGGACTAGGAGGCAGCAGAAGTGGGAAGCAGCTCCCGGAAACACCCGCACAGCCTGGCCTTCTCCAGGGAGCCTCGCCTCTCTCTCCTCCGTGTCTCATTTCTCTTCCTCATTACCTGGAGGAAATTTCTCTTTTTGCTTGATTGCACATAGGAGGGAAGACATTCTCCTTCCCCGCCCCCATGGAACATACACCATTTATCATGCGACAATCATATTTGACAGAAAAAGGAAAAGTTTTGACTGAATTGGGATAGCGAACTAAAAGCCAGCGCTGTGCATTAAGCATCTGCAACTCATTTTGAAATGAGTCAAGAAGCAGCTGGCTGGCTGGCCGGCCAGAACGGGTAAGTGAATCTCCATACGAGGAGGCGAAAAGAGCAAAATGTCGGCGTGAAACCTCGGTGGTGGCACGCTCCTAGCTTTTTAACTTTGTTGGTAATTTTTATGACAAAATATTGGGGAAAACTAATGCAGCCTAAGTTTCTCTTCGCCAGCTAACTCTCCCCATAAGCTCAATTCTTTATCGGCTTTCCTCGTAGCTCGGGTATGTCACTTTGCATAAAGATGATGGCAAAGGATGAATAAACATTTCTTGAATGGCAGATGACTATGAGATTTCTCGGTTCAGAACAGATTCATTCAACACGTATTTACTGTGAAAGTTCTCTTTTTTAGCTCCGTGATCTGTTTCAGGGATAAGAAACCCCACTTTTGTCCTCTGGAGTCACAGGATTAGGAGGATTCCTGGAAAGGTGGCAGCCCCCCACTCCATGCTGCATAGGGGCTCATTCTGACACGCCCCTGCATAGGGGCCCATGCTGAACCCTCACCCATGCTGCATAGGGACCAGCTTAGCGGCTGAACCCCCCTTCCACCCAGGATCACCATGGGGAGAGAGTGGTGGCATTTCTGGGTGCCTGGACCCCAGGCCCGTTGTGTCCCTCCTGGCCTCTTTTCTTCTCACCTCAGGCAGGCCCGAGTAGTGACACGACTCTTACGAGGCCTTTTCCCTTGGGGATCTGCATTTTGAAAAACAGATTTGTGAATGGTTTTCCCTCTGTAAATGCCAAAGGAACCTCAGGCACCTGGCAGTGTGGGAGGCGTCTGGAGACACCGATCCTCATTTCCCCTCACCCCCACAGGAGGCCATGTTCCCCTCAGGATGTCCACACCCCACCAAATTCTGATGCGCCCACTCTGGGTTCAAGACTAAGCCATCTGCAGTGAGGCTAGAGACAAGGCTCTGGGGAGGGAATGGAAGCTGGAGGAGGCACTTGGAGCAGCAGGCGGTGGGCCCTGCAACTCCCACAGCCTGTGTCCCTGGGGACCCCCCCCCCCCCAGAAAGGAGCGTGCTCTGGACACAGGAGCCTGCTTGCCCCCTGGGCATTGCCCTCACTGGGTGAGTTGGCCTGAGCACAAGGCCTCACCTGCAAAGCAGGGGAGCTATTTCTACCTCCCTCCCTGGGCCCAGGGGAGGATCCAGGGGCGGGAAAGCTCTGCAAGGTGATGACTTGGTGACAAGCACAAAGGGACCCTTCTCCTCTAAGAGGCTGGTGCGTACAAACGAGCCATATTTTTTGAATTAAGGCAGTGGCTCCATTCCAAAACCATTAGCTGCAGTCGGGCCTCTTCCTAGACTGATTACAAACAGTCTGATCTAATCAGGTCCATGCACCAGCAAATAAACCAAGGCAGCCACGGCCCTGCTGCACGCCAGGAAAGTTGCGCCAGCGTCTGTGACAGTGAGGAGCCCAGGTTGGGCGTGCGCGTGTCACCTGCCGCTTATTAAATGCCACAAGCTCATAGAGAGGCCACAATCCCTAAGGTACAGCTGTGGAAATGGCCAGTTCAGGCTCAGAGGGGTGAAGCAACTTACTCAAAGCCACATGGCTAGGGCATGGCTGGCGAAGCCAAGATCCAAACCTGACTTACCTAACTCAGGGTTTCTTACTCTCCTTCCTTAGCCACCTGGGGTTTGAGAAGCCTTTGCCGTGAAGAGCTGTCCTGTGTTTTATTGCATTTTTTGCAGCATCCCTGGCCTCTACCTACTAGATGCCAGTGGTGCCCCCACCTCACTTCCAGGCATGACAATAAAAGAGATCTCTAGCTATTGCCAGATATTCCCTGGGGGGCAAAAGTTTCCTTGGTTAAAAGCACTGGTCTTACTGAAGAATACCCACCCTGAGCTACTCTACTCCCTGCCTGCCAGGGAGATCAGCCTTCAGCTCAAGGTAAGGAAGGACTTGCTAAAAATAGACACGCTCTGCAATGCAGTGAATTGCCTGGGTGCTTAGTGAGCGCTGCGTCACGGGGGGTATGCAAGAAGTAGGCCAGATCTGATTCCAAGTTAGAAATAGTCCTGCTTTCTCAGGGGCCATGATTTACTAAGTACTGCGAGTGGTGCTGGTTTTAGATAAAACCACCCAATGAGACCAATGGGCAGGGGGTTCTGCTGAGGGCCAGGAGGGAAGCAAGGAGGTCTAAGGAGAAGCTGATGTAGAATGAGACTCCAGGCCCACACCACTCTGCTGTCCCCCCACTCATCAGGGCTGGTCCAAGGCGGCTTGGTACCTTCTGGGCGGCAGCAAAGAGCAGGGTGCAAAATCCAGGTTTTGTAGCAGGGAAACCACTGCTCTAAAGCCACTTGTATGGCTAGCAAGCTGGGCAAGACGCTTCCCTTCACCAGGCCTCAGTGTTCCTCACTGGTGGCTAAACCAGGGATAAAGCCCCAGAACAGAGCCTGGCTTCTGAGAAGTGCTTGGTTAATAGCAGGGACTGTTTTCTTCCATTTCTTGGTGACATAAAGATCCCACAGCCAGAGGAGGAATCACTCTTCACCTCTCCTGTTTTTCACCGTGGCAGAAACCGCTAACAGTCTCCCAATGCTGTGCTAATGGTCTTCCAGCATAGACTTCCCTCTATTGAGGAGCAGCCTTCTGATCTTAGCTGCGTACGTGGCTGTCTGGGATGGGGATTACATTCCCAAGCTCCTGGAGCTGGGGAGGGCCCTGGGACTCCATTTCAGGGAAGTGGAGATGGCGAATCCAGAAAGCATCCCCAAAGGAAAGTCGTGTTCTGTTTTTTGGCCCTTCAATCTCCCAGGGGGCTGGAATATGGGTAGGATGAATGGTGCCTCCTGGACCATCTTGGGAACATGAGGAAGAGCCACAAAACCTCAAAACGGGAGAAACAGCCATCTGGAAGGAGCTGAGGTCCCTGATGATGGCAAAGCCCCCACACCAGCCAGAAATGCCAACTCTGGGGTTCTCTGTCATGCACAGCCGAACAGACTCCTACTGACGCGCTGCCCCCAAGCTCGAGGAGCTGGCAATTATCAAGAGAAGAAAAGCAAAAGAGAAGCGGGCGTCACATACACAAAAAATCAAATCAAATCCAATTTAAAACTCTAGACCACCACAGGACAGACGGTAACTGAGGTAAGACCAAAGCCCGTGGCAGAGGAGCACTGAGGCAGCTGCAGGGGCCCCAGGGCAGCAGGGAAGGGGCTATGTGAGTTGGCCCTTGAAGGAGGAGCGGAAGTTCCCTAGAGGAACGAGGAGGACATAAAGGCCAAAGAGGGAAAGAAGGAAAGAACAACGAAAGGTCCTTGGGTTCAAGGACCTGGGAGGGGAAAGACGGGGCAGAGGAGGCTTCTCTGGAAGCTTCCCCTCTTGACTAGGCCCTGCCTGCGCCACTCCCCTGCCCGGGGGTGTCCTTCTGACTTGTGTGCCCACAGTGTCCAACACCCCCTTTATTCAGCTCTCCTGTGGCACAGTCATTCTTTCTTTAGCCGATTCTCCCCACTAAATGGGGATCCACTCCAGGGCAAGGGGTGCATCTGCTCCTTCTGTTTCCAAGGGGCGGCGACACCAGTGACCAACGAGGGGATGCCCTTGTTGACGGCAGGCTCCACCCTTTGCACTCACTGCCAGTCTCTGTGCTGGTCCCAGGCTGGCACGTGGTAAGGTCAGCAGACATTTACTGGGTGAGCCCTGAAGAAATGAGGCACAGAGGGGAGCAGGGAAGACAGCAGAAGGCACCAGAGAAGCACCCGGATAGCCATTCAGCACCTTCTTCATGGGATGTTTAAGCCAACACAATTTGGAGAGAAGATTTACTCATGAGTAGTGATAACTTTCAGCTAACTTTTCCACTTTTCCTTGGCAACTTTGTTAGAGATGTCATTCCTGGTCACCCAAAATGTGAAGAAAGGCTTGTGTGAGAGCATAGGGCAGCACAATGCAAACATGATTTATGATAGGAAATAATCAAACATTTGGTAACTAAACATTTAACAGGACAGCTACAGAACAATCATGTGGCCACTGATAATCACATTTACGAAGCTCCAATAACGATATGGGAAAATGTTCTTTGACAAAATTAAATTTACAGAGATTGTCTGCACAAGATGACGTCAACTCTGTTACCTAATAGGCTGACCACAAGGGGGTTCTCTGTACAGTCTATTAACAGTGGGTTCCTCTGGGTGCTGGTCAATGTTTATTGTCGTTGGTATCCCCATTGATTTCATTAATGAGAATGTTTTAGTTTTACAAGAGGGAAGATAATGACTAACTGCACTCATTTTTAAAAACAAAGCCAAGAAGATTTATTCTACTGAGAAAATGTATAAAATGCTTTCCACATTCTTATCACATCTTTTATTTTCTTTAGTACAAAGTTTTAGCATCTGAGATTCCTTCTGATACATAAAAACTGCCTCACCCACCACTCCCCATTCCAAAACACTCCACCCTCCCCTCGTTTGCCTTGGACAGCTGTTTTGGTCAAATAAGTCTGAACATTCTTTTTTTTTTTTTTTTGTACTAATACAGGTAGCCAGCATGAGAGAGCATCCCCACCTCTCCAGTACTGCCTCTTTTCATTGAGTCCGGTCTGGGCATCATTTCCATAAAACACCCAGGCTTATCAGTGCTCCTGGCTGAGGGACAAAGAGCAGACTGCAAATTACAAAATCTTGTTAGGAGTCCAGGGCTGCAGAGACATGGTGACCTAGAATCTAGGGCAGTGCTCAGTGAAGAGTCAGTCTCCAACTAAGATGCAAGAGGGAGACAGATGCCTTTGTGGGCAGGCAGTAGCCCCGAAGACTCTTCCAAGGGAGGGGGGTGGTACACATTCAAATGTCTACAAGGTCAGGGAGGAAAAGGCAACTGTGTGTGGAGCAAGAGGGAATGGTGGGGACTGTGGCAACTTTGGGAGCATATTCTCTATCTGCAGAGGACAGATGGCACTCAGATGCCACCAACTGCTGCAGGGCCAGATCTGCTTTTTTAAAAAACAAATCACAAAAACTGGACTTATATGTGAAATCTGTATATTTTCAAATGTCTTCAATCATTCAGTGGTTTCATTTGTTTCCATGAACACTTGGAAATAGGTCAAATAAAAACAAATTTGGTGGGCATGACCTGTAAGCCTTGCAACAGGAATGTCTGGTTAGTTCATAGGGGTCCAGACTGCCGAATATGAGATGATGAACCTGGAGTTGATGCCTTTTGGGCATCTGCCCCTCTCACATTAAGCCTACTCTGAAAGCCACCCATGGCAGATAGTTAAACCATGGAACCCCTACCCATGCGCGCATGTGATTGGATCAGAGACTTTCATCTGACCCTAAATGGGCCAATCATTTTAAGTCTCTCTTCTGGAAAACTGGAATTGAAGCTGTGCAAGAGGGACAGTATACTGGTCTCCTAAACGGCTGTGATAGGGAAGTAGAGGCTGAGGTTGCCACGGGGGGGCTGTTGTTCATCTCCAGCCTAGAGTGGGAGGGGAAGGAGTTCTTACAGAAGGTGGCAATAGACAAATGCAAAGATTCACCTGCTGGAGCAATTGCTATCTGTGTGCCCCACGATGAATTTAGACCTTTCTCTTAAACCAAATACTACAAATGGACAACGTCCTAAATGTAAGTTCTAGCCTCATCAAACTCTTAGAAGAAATTACAGGAGAGGGCCTCCCCGGTGGCGCAGCCTCTGCAGCGCTGGTTCGATT